TAATACTATATTTGCCTATTAAGATTCTTAATATTTTTATTAAATATGATCTTAGTTACAAACATTCTCGTGAAGAGATTCCTTTGAGATTCCAAAGTACGTTTCATGAACTCAAATTTCTCAAAACGCAACTTTCCAGAAAACTTCGAATATGTTGACAGATGTTTAGTTTCATAGTGACGCCAAAGATTGTACTCTTTCAAAACGGCAACACTTTCGTTGCATATCATGCAACTAGCTTTCTGGTTGTTTGTTTCCACAAAGAAGTACTTTTCTCCCCATTCTTCATTGAAAAGGTGACACTCAGCATCTACTTTTCTTTTCTTAGTAGCCATAACGATGGCTAAAGAAAATAGGATCTGAAAATGAAAAACAATTGTTTATTTACACATTGAATAGTCTACCAAAAAAAGTTTTAGAAAAATAATAATTTTTCAAAATTTTTTGACATGTATATAAACATGACAAACTAAATGTAAATAGTTCATGACATTAAATTACGTAATTGGTTAAAAAGTTTTTTCCCGATAGATTATTTGATTAAGCAATTTTTATAATTTGCCAATGTATTTGAATTTATTATGGAAGTTAATTAGAAGAGCTTCATAAAAACTGAAAATGAATCTGTCACTCGCACAAGTTACAAAATAGTGCATGAGATGGCAGAGCGAGGAAAACCATTTACTGACGGCAACTTCATCAAAGAGTGTATGATGGAAGCAGCAAATGACTTGTGTCCTGAGAAAGCCGAATTGTTTGGAAGTTCACTTGTGCGGAGAACAGAAGAACTTCGAGAGAACACAGTGTTACAGATACGCGAGAAAGCTAGGGACTTCTTGTGGTATTCTCTGGCGCTGGATGAGTCTACTGATCTCTCGAGTATGTCACAACTTCTTGTATTCATTCGTGGTGTTAATTTGGACTTTCAGATCACAGAAGAGTTGATATCCGTTAGCATGCACGAAACATCAACTAGAGAAGACATTTTCATGGAAGTGCAGAAAACTTTGCAAGGCTATAACCTTCAGTGGAATCAGCTTCAATGTGTTACAGTTGATGGAGGAAAAAACATGGCTGGAGTGAGGAAGGGTCTGATGGAGCAGATATGAACTATGTTGGAAGATCTTCAACTCCCGGGCGCTCTGTTTATACACTGCATTATACATCAGCAAGCACTCTGTGGGAAATACTTAGATATTTCTTGCGTACTGAAACCAGTCGTTTCTGTGGTGAACTTCATTCGGGGTCATGCACTTAATCACCGCCAGTTCCAGGCTTTTCTTGAAGAAATTGATTCTGAATTCTGTGACTTGCCTTATCACACAGCAGTGAAGTGGCTCAGCTTTTGTAAAGTCCTGTTTCGTTTTTATAAGCTCCGAAGAGAAATATATATTTTTCTCACCAAAAAGGACAGAGCTG